ATATATATAATAAATTATATATACAAATTTATATATATATATATAAATTTATATTAATAAAGTAAAAAAAAAATAGAAAAAAGAAATAAAAAATGTAAATGTATATATGTATCAAACATAAAAATGATTTCATTAAAATATTTTCGCAAAAAGTAACCAAACAGCTCGAGGATAGGAAGAGGATACCACGAATAGATCGAAATCAATTTTATTTACAATAGGATAAAAGGAAAAACAATAACATTTGATTTCATAAAAAATAAATCTTGTTAAAATTCTCACCGGCAAAGTAGATGTTGATTCACCAAGAAACGACGAACTAATACTCTGTATTTGTTGCTTCTGCTCTTCGATTTGTCTATTTAATTCTTCCATTTTTCGTTGAAGATCGGTAGAATTTTTACTAGAAGAAATTATGCTATTATCAAGTGGGGTATTATCAATAACCATTGAACCAGATATCGAAGGTACTGTAGCTGTTGATGCCGATGTTGAAGAAGTTCGTATATCAAGATCAACCTCTTCTTCATCCATCTGGCCGGGACTATACGGTTCATCACCATCATCCTCAAGAGGTACTTTACCAGGTGAAGAAGTAAGATCGATCTTTGAAGATAATTCGGGAACTATTTTACATATTGTTGCGGTATCGAGTAACGTACTCCTCGACATTCCTATATGTGCTCTATTCAAATTGTCAAGAGTTATTTGTGTGACAGAATGTTGTTTTTCTTTTGTGGATTCTGTCGTACTAACACTTCCAATTGTTTTATGATATGTACTTGTTCCGGTTGCTGAAGGAGATGAAGACACTGGGATCGTTGGTGTTGCCGTAGAAGCAACAGAAGCTGCAATCGTTGTATTGGTACTATTAGGTTTATCTTTTGAAGCACTTACTAATGGTGGCGTATAGCTTCGATCAGTGTCTTTTTTCGATAATTTCATTGGAACACTCGAAGTTATACCGGCAAGGCGTTTTCTTTTATTACGAACAATGATTCCTAAAAGAAGATGCGGTCTGTGTTCTTCGAAACCAGGACCGTTTAAAGGTAACAGAACTTGAGGTATTGTACTTTGACTTGAAAATGGCATTATATAAAAATCCTTTATATTTTTAGAAACATTTCCAACTACTCCAAGTCGACTTCTACTATTTAAATAACTATACAGAGTTATGTATGGAATCTTTTCTTCATCATTCGCTGCAGTAAGTCGAATCACTAGAATTTCTTTCGAGCCAGTTTTTTTCATTTTTGAAATATAATCCCACACAGTTTCATGACTTATTCTACCAACAACATCAACTGTATCTGGCAAGTCATCCATCAAATCTTTTGCATGACCACTGACTTCTTGCGCGGTAATAAAGAACTTTGCTACATCCACCATATTAACGAAACCTCTCCAAACTGTTTGCCATCCTCCTTTCGGAGTTTCACTTTCAATGATAGTTGATTCTTGTTCTCTTTCTCTATCAATTTCATCATTTATATCCGGTGTTTTAATCGTAACTGTTGAAGATGGTTCTCTATCCGATAGATCAGAATCATTTCCATCAATGGTGTTAGTTGTTGCTTCGTCTTCAATATGCCGCCAAAGCCGATCTTCAATTGATTTTTCAGATGATGTTCCTGTTAATCCTGATAATTCTTCTTCTTTTCCATCTCTCTCTTCCTTTCGTCGTCTTTTTTATCGACATCTTTTAAATCACAATGAATGAAACTACTATTACGATTTCTTGAATTATTTTCATTATTTCTATGTCGTTCTTTTTCTTTTTCTCTCTCCCTATCTTTTTCCTTTTGTTTAGTTTTTTCTCTATTATTTTTTTCCGAACGAAGTTTTGATTTTTCTCGATCTCTGGTTCTGGATCGTTCACGATCTCTATCTCGATCCCGTTCTTTTTCTTTATCGCGATCTTTTTCTCGTTCACGTTTACTTTCTTTATCTCGAGATTTTCTTTCTCTACTCTTTTCTCTAGTTTTACTGCGTTCTCTGTCATCTCTACTATGTTTATGTCTACTTCTGCTAATACTTCTACCACGTCTATCGTTCGTAGCCTTCGAACGATTACTCTCCTTCTCTCTTCCCCTTCCTTTTCTTTATCTCTTTCCTTTTCTTTCTCTCTGCCTCTATCTTTATCTTTTTCCTTATCCTTTTTTCTCTTATCATCAAAACTCCTTAATCTTTTCATATCTTCTTTAGTTTTTAATTTTTCTTCATCATTTGATCTTTCTAGATCTTTTTCCATATCATCCACAGTTGAAGTTATACTATCAGCACTATTTAGTGCAGTTACAATATCTTGTACAGGAGTTTTTGGATCAACGTGATCAATACTACCATCATTTTCAATTATTTGTTCACCTTTATGCGTTTTAACAACAATAGACTTAGCTTGAGCCATTAGATCTAACTCGTTCTTTTTAATCATTTCTAACTGATGCTTTGTTTCTTTTTCTCGCCATTCGGCCAATTCTTGACTTGCCATTTCATCAGGACTTAATCTTACAACAGCATCTGGCGTTAATGATCTATCAGCAATTTTTCTAAATAATGTCAAATTCTTTGTATCTTTTATATTAAATACGAGACTTCTGTATTTAGCTTTATATTTTGCTCCTGTATCTTTAAAATATTTATACAACTCTAGTTCAATATTGTAAGCTAAATCTGCTATTTCTTCATCAGTAAGTTTTAAATCTTCAGTTTCTTTTATGCGGCTAGACAATAATTCTGTCAAAGTTTTTCGTATATTTAATCTTATAGGTTCAGTTTCAGGTTTCTTTGGCGGACTAGGCTTGATTTGTTGCTGTTTTGATTGTAAAATTGTCTGTTTTGATTCCTGTTTCTTTACATTTGGTGTTTGCTTTGGTGATACAGCATTTGGTTGTTTAGATTGTGGTTGAGTAATCAATTTTGTCGTTGTAGTTTTCAATAATAAAGAGTTTTTATTTGATGCTGGTAATAACGTTTGTTTAATTTGTATTGATTTTGTACTTGTTGGTTGAATTTGTTGTACTTGCGGCTGTTGTCCACCGGAAATGACTGTAATTTTTTTACCTCCTGTTGTTAAAATCATTTGCTTAGATCCTTGTACTTTTGTATACGTCATTTTTGGAAGATTTTGTCCTTTTCCAGGTGATAATAATGCAGACTTTCCCTTAAGATACATTTTATTAAATATTTAATAAAAAAGTAGAAAAATAAAAGAAAATTTTTATACTTACTGTTTTAACGGGTATTTGCGTATTTTGAATAGTTGTGATCGTTTTCCCTATTTGTAAAGTACCAAGATTATTTGTCCCAACTACTTCAAATGTAGGATGTTCTTTTAACCATAAACGTAAATTTGATCTTGTTGGAGCATCCGAACCTTAAAAAATATTAATAATAACAAATAAAAATATATTTTTTTAAATAAAGATTTAATTGAAACCTAAAAATGAACAGAATTAACTTACCAGTTAATACTGTTCCAGATTTTCTCTCAAAGACAATAACTCGTGTATCAGATTTCGGCTTTGAGGCAGAATCAAAAGGTGACAATCTTGTTCCTTTCGGGCTAGTGGTTGATCCTGGTATTGGTTTGTCTTTGGTCAATGTTTCTTGAGCATGCGCAAGTATACATGCATCAGAACAATAAATGCTGGAGTTTCTTGCTTCTTTTTTACAAACAACACATTGCATACCACTAGAATATTGAACACTACCATAGTCACAATTAGAACGTATTAAAGGTGATATTTCTTCACTAAATGAAGTTTGATTAACAGAAGTAAGACTTTTTGGATTATCAAATATATTATCAGATTGAATCCGTTGCTTTCCTGAAGCATTTTGAGTATTCAGTTTTGTTTTTATTTCTTCGTCCTTTTTTTTAGCACAGTTTGGACAAACCCATTCTATTCCTTTTTCCTCCATTTGTTGTCCTAAACAAGAAAAAAAATCAAAAAAAGAAGAAATATAACATTAACAAAGAACATATATAAATTTTATATTATCATATTATTTGAACGAAAAAATATAATATTTATTTTTTTTCTTACCCATTGCTTTGCTAACATGTACGCACTTTCCGTGAAACCAATCTTCACATACATCGCAACAAATCATAAAACGATTATTATGCGGTCGTTTGCATATACACCAAAGTCTATCGGGATCATCTTCTGAATCCGAATTATCTTCTTCTTCTTCTTCCTCTTCTTCTTCATCTTCTTCCCCAATTTGTTTTGGATCTTTTTCTTCCAAATCTTCTTCCTCTTCATCCTCTTCTTCTTCACCTTCTTCTTCTACATCATCTTCATCTCGAATTTCATTTTGACTTTTTTCATCTTGATCTATATTTGTACGAATTTCATGTTTTACAGATTGCGACATCCTTTGTTGCATTGTTTGTACACTGTAACTATTAATAAATATTAAAATATTGTAATTTGAAAATTATAATAATTTTTTGTATTTAACTTATTTACGTACCCAAGTTTTTCTGTTCGTTTAACGGGTTCAAATGTTTTTTGAATAGATTCTGTTTTAACTTGTAATCGTCTGCTCCTAGTAGCTGGTGCTTCGATAGGAGGTAATGTAATTACTCGACCACCACGAATAATTTGAATGGGTTCTTTATCATCTTTTGCTGACTTTTTTCCTGTTTCTTTAGATGTGTTTATATTTGCACTAGTTGTTACTCCAGCTACCGTTGTGCTCGACATAGTTGATGTTACAATTATTGCCGTAGAAGCATCTAACGGCTTAGTACCTTCTTGTTCAGATGTAATCAAAGAAGGAATAAGCATATTATTTGACGTCAATGGTTCAGGCACAACATTTCCTCCTTGTTCAACAAGTGTAGCCTATAAAATTAGAGAATAAAAAGTTGAAAATGAAAAGAGAATAAACATGATTCAAATTTTTAATACTATTTTTAAATAATATATTAATATTAATAAAAATAAAAATTTTAATACATGTTCAGCTAAGTCAACTCCAAGTTCTTCTTGTAATAATAATGCTTCAGCTAATAATTCTTCTTCATGTTTACTAGCTTCCATTTCCAACGTAGCTAGTAAATGTTCTTCACCTTCTATACCACCTAAAAATGAATTAAATATATACTTCGATAAGTATAAGAAATTTAATGATTTCCAATATCTTTAGAAGTAGTAATTACCCGAATCCAAGCTTGGTTGTAATTCTTCTGAAACATTAGATTTTATACTTGATTTAGATTCCACTTCGTGATTTTGTACCAAACAATCACCATTTTCTCGTTTTTCTATGGTAATTGAAGTTTCAGAATTTATAATTCGGTCGGAAGACGTAGAAACAGTACCTTTGATTATAAATTTTAAATGATAATTTGAACATATATAAATTTTTTAAAATATATACAAATATGTATATATACAAACTGGCACGATTTGATGTTATAGACGATGTTGATGATGAAGGTGTTGATGATAAATGAGTAAGAGAATTTCCACTTCCAGAAGAAACAACTGTAGAGGATGTCGTAGAGATCAATGATGTCACTACATTTTCCTGAACTTTCGAATCACTATTCGAACCAACACGACGAATAATATCTGGAGTTGAAAACAATGCAGGACCCAAATTGTCTACCATATATGCTGGCGATTTGCGATTTTCTTTTTTTGGATGTTTTTTCGTGCCTAAAAATAATTGGTATTTTTTATATATTTGCAATATCATACATAAATTAATTGGTAAAATATTATAAAATAAAATTATTAACCATCAAAAATCTTGTTCTCTGATATTTTACCAGAATCTATTTCTGTTTTCATAAGAATTTCTGAACCATCAGGTTTTCTTTTCTCTTTCTTCAGATCACAAGATTTTATTTTTGAAATAGTACCAGGTGATGTTATTTTTGCTGATTGTTGATGTTGCATATTTGATGTTTGATTCTGTATCATTGTAGACTGTTGTGCTGACGATACTTGCGGTATTGTTCCTTTCATTTGAGTGACTGATACATTTGATGTTATATTTTTAGCAGCGACAGGTATTTGAACTAGTTTACCATCTTTGGTTGCAAAAAATTTCGTTCCAGTTTGATTCAAATATTTCCCTTTGGGAAGAATCATTTGTTTCTTTATGTCAATATTTTTAAGATCATTTGGCTTCATAAGCACTTGCTTTTGTACAAAAGTAACTTTTTGATTAGTTCTTCCTTGTCCAGGTTTTGTAAGAATCATATCACCTTTAATCATATTAGCATTAATCAAATTCGCTTTAACTTGATTCGTCGTTTGCAATGGTTTGTCAAAATTAACTGAAATATCTTCATTCATTATTGAAGATGATTCAATACGTTGCGATTCCTCTTTTTTCCGAGCAATAGTATTTTTAAGCTGTCTTTTACCTCTAACTAAACCAAATCCTCCTAAGAAAAGAAAAAATAAAGTTGTTTTCAATTTATCATGAATTTTTATATTAATAAAAATGAAAAAATAAAAAAAAATAATTACTTCTTATACCTGACTTTTCATCTTTCTCAGGACTCTTCATAGCATTCACAGCAGCAGCCATTTCCATATCTAATCGACGAACTTGTTCCATATCCATTTGTTTATTAGGACCTCTTCTACGTGTAGCTACCATACTTCCTCCTCTAGTAGTAAGTCCTTTTCTACCACCTCTAGCTCTTACACCACCTCTTCTAGGACCTCTTGGACCAAAATCTGAATCATTATCAGATGGTTCTGAATCTGATGATTCAGTTGATGACAGTAACTCTTCATCATCCTCATCATTAGATTTTCCTTGATCTAGTTAAAGAAGTATAATGTTAATGTTATATAAATTAATAAATTTAATGTACCTATGATATGATTACTTTTTCCAATTCCTTGTTGCATTACACCTGTTAAATTTCTTGAAATTGGATGTCCAATAGATTTAGGCGTACTTGTTATGTTGATCGATTTTGAATTATTAGAAAGAGAAGTAGATGTTGCAGGAAAATTTTTTCGTGGTCGACCAACTGGTTTACCCTAGAATAAATAATATAATAATGAATATATTCAATTTTTGTTGATCATAAAAATTTAATTATATTGAACTTACAGTTTTTACAATAGCTTTTGATTTTATTGTGACTGTATTTTCAGTATCGCCAATAGGCGATGATATTTTGGATGTTCCAGGAGCAGGAGAATGTTGACGCCCATATTGTAAACCATCATCAGAAGTAGGTGAATCAATAACAGGCAATGGATCTCTTGGCTTTGGATCAGAAGGAGATAGCCTACTTGTGTAGCAATGATCTAATTTAACACTATACCTTATAGAATTTTGTTGTTCTTCTACTGTTAACATATCTGAAAAACATAATTAATCATTTAATTAAAAATTAAATTATTATTTAAAAATTATTATCAATTATCAAATTAATCATTATTTAATTATTTGAATCAATTATTGCATATATGATGAAATGAAAATAATTCAATTTGCATAATTTATAAATCTTTGTACCTAAAAGCTTCATAGCAGAATTTTCAAGTATAAAAAATTAAAATAAAATAAAATAAAACTAATAATACCAAGCATTGCTGTAACATTTTCTCCTAGAATTTGTTTTGCCTCTTCACTTTGCAAAGCTGTCTCTAATCGTTCCAATTGTTCTGGATCCATTTCCATGAAAGGGTCAACCAAACTATTTGTATCAGTGGATGTACCAGAATTTATTGCAGTAGATGTAAACATTGGAGGATCAACAGTTAATGTGATATCTCCATTTTCTGTATCTGTTTCTGCTTGTCCTACTCTAACAACACTAACATTTGCATTGGATTGATTCACTAAAAGTTAACATGAGTAATCAATATCTAAAACCAATAATTGCAAATAAATTTATAATGTAAACTTACTGATTAAACTCTGCAAAGTTTCTTGATCAACAGATATTGTACCATCATCATTAACAATGATAATCAATGTATCATCTTTCTTTTCTGATCCACTCTCTTGTGGTTCAATAATGAACGAGCTAGACATCTTTTTTTAAATAATGATAATATTGCAGTATTTGCTTTCAATGAAGTTGTCTTATCAAAAACAACAATTGCGTCGCAATTGTCTCACAAATGAATTGTGTCCAGAAGAAAGAAAGATTATATATGCCCTTCAAAGGGAGAAGTAACATTCGAACAAGCATCGAGAGTATCAGAAGGAATAAACAAGAATTCCAATTAATCAGCCGCGTTCCTAGTTAGATGGAAATTAAATTTGGATCCTGTGCAGTATAAGCCGGTAGGACATCAAAATAAGTTGAATGCAACAAATTTTTTAAGATATATATCAAAGAAATCACGAAAAATTAAGAAAAAAGTAAAATAACAAATAATTAAAAATTGCGATACACAGTATCGTGTCGTTCACGTTTGTCGCGTTATTATCTATTCTACGCTTTATGATACACAATTATAAAAATTTTAAAGATGATAAATATTACACGTTTTTTTAAGAATATCAAATTAAATTGATATTAATTAATAGTAAAGAAATTAAATACACAACACCTTTAATGTCACACTTTGAAAGAAACATAATGTTCATGGTCAAGTAAACAGTACCGCCAAGAAAAGGATAGTCGCCATTTTGTTTGAGTTAGCCAAGTAACGTTTCCCAAAAGTTTTCGGTCATCCGTCGTTGTTTCGTTGTTATTAAGTTATTTCACAATAAAGCTCTTCGTATGAGACTTTTTTTATGTAATTTTCGCAAAAATAACGTAACTAACGAAAAAATGAGACTTTTTTCAACGATACATGATGTTACGAACGCACTTCTACCTTTCTGCACACACTGAGACGCTGCGCACTTCTCGTTGCGCAACAACGAGAAGAGTAAAGCAGTAGCGCTATAGCGCGTTAAAAACACCTTAAATTGTAACTGATAATATTTAATTTTTACGAATCTCATAAATATTTATGATTTGTAATATCTTAAAGTAGTTTCCATGTTATTAAATACTTTAAATAACATTTTCATTTAAAATTTCACTGAAACATGACATATTTGATATATTATATTTTTAAATGGTATTATAAATAAGTTTGAAGTTATAAAATTATAAATCATATTGTATATTTCTATAAATTTTTTTTTATTTTTTTCAATAAATCTTAATAAATTTTTATATTGATTTTAATATAATTAATGCATATGTGAAAATAAACAGATTTTAAAATAATATTTCTTATTTATTTCTATATATGAATTAAATAAATAATACAAAATAAATTTTTATATATTATTTTATATATTGTATAAAGTGAATTGAAAATTATATAATATTTATAAATATGATAAAATGGTAAAATAAAACTTAAAAATAAAAGAAAAAAAGTAAAATAATAATAACATTGTATATACATTTTAACATTTTGTGTCATACAGTTAAAGTTTTTCCGTAAGAGGGAGTGCGAGAGAATTTGTTCGATTAAAACTAAATAAATATATTACAAAGAAATAATAAGAAAATGAAAATGAATGTATAATGATATATAAAATATCGAAAATATGGAAAATAGTAAAAGTATAAAAATTGCGAAACTTGATGGATTGAAAACAAAAAAACGAAAACGAGGAATTGTATATTTATCTAGCATACCTAAATATATGAATATTGCAAAAATTCGTGAATTATTTTCAATATATGGAGAAGTTGGAAGAATCTATTTTCAATTGGCAGAAAATGGTTAGTTGTCATATGTGAAAAAGTAAAATATGTATAAAAAATTTTATTCTATATAAACATAACCTCTATTTCATATTTTTTAAACACTTTTTTTAAAAGAATACACACGTTCATTCATTTGATAACAATTGCGATATTTTCTATTAATTAATATTTAAATATGTATAAGCAAATCTTTTTTATGCAGTATTGGAACAAGATAGTAAAGCAAAAAAACGAAAAAAAATTCATACAAAATTTTTTACTGAAGGATGGGTTGAATTTGAAAGTAAGAAAGTAGCAAAATATATTGCATCTACATTGAATAATACACAAATCTCAACTAGAAAAAGAAGCAAATTTTATGATGTTATTTGGAACATAAAATATCTTCCAAGGTATAAATAAATAATAATTTATTTTTAAATTGTAATTACACTTTTGAAAAAAATGCATTTATATATTAATAATACCATTTTTATTAGATTTAAATGGATTCATTTAAGTGAACGTTTAGCATATGAACAAGCAGTTCGTAAACAAAGATTACAAACTGAAATTGCACAAGCAAAGCGAGAAGCAAACTTCTTTTCACACAATGTTGATAGAAGTAGAAAATTACATCAAGTGCAGCAAAATGGAAATAATTCTTTTATACCACCTGTAATAAAACAGAGAGACACAGATGCTGAAATTAGAAGCAGAAAGGAAATCGAATTGGTAACAGATAGAACAGGTTTTTTAAAATCTTTATTTGGATGAAATATTTGACTATAATATACATCGAAAGATATTTTTAAAAAAAATATTCAAAGAAATTGTATTAATAAAAGTTATATATTTATTTATATTATTCTTTATATTTAAACAATTATCATTTGATTAATGGAATAATATCTAATTGATTGATTGTAATGAATTTTTTTATCTTTTACATCTTCTGATATAAAATAAATTACATATATTTTATATTTTTTTACTTTTTTCTTTAAAACCTCTATTAATAAATAGAATTTGTAAATATCAATTGTTTATTTTTTTTATATTCTAATATTTAGTCTTCAGAATATAAATTATATCATTAAAATATAAAAATCACATATTAAATTTATTTTGATAAAAATAGTTACATTAAAAAAAATGAATAATAATATACTTATTATATCAAACAATTTAAATTAAATAATAATTTT